CTTCCCCTCAACGACCCCAAGCCTGACATGCTGGGGTAAAGATGACGGGCAGTGCAACGGATCCGCCTGCCAGTTTAACGCTGCGGCTCCGATGCCAGACTCCAGGTCGTTGCTGACTTTCCCCTGATCTGCTCAGGGTGATGCGTTTCGACGGTAGGGTCGGGATATACAACGGATGCAACCTCGCGTAAGGTCGATCACTTCTCAGATCTGCCATAGCGCTCAAGATGCTGGAAGTTGCAACATTCGCATCCCCTTCCTTTGACCCGGGGGAGGACGTCGACGAAGTGCTTCCTCTGCCCCGGACCATGGGGGGTTTTCTGGGGTAAAACTTGGTAATATTGACAGGGTCTCAAAGAGTGACAGGATGATAGGTCACAAACTGGCATCCCCCGCAGCCATGCTAGCGTTGAATCCTCATTTCAGATGCCAGAAGCGAGATGGCCGTACTGTTTGGGGAGATCTGCCAGGCATTTGCTTCGAGTTGTTGGTCGCTAGGCCTTGTCGTCGTGTTAGTCAGTGCAACTGAACATCCCAGCCCAATTCACCGACCATTTCGACATTTCGCGACGTCACCAAGACAACGCGACGACGAGACGGCACAGCAAGAAAGGAGATATGGCATGGGGAGCAGGGAGGCAATGGAGCACAGTGGTTATCGCCCAAAGACAACACATGGTCTGTGTGTCCGAGGTTGCTACATCGCTGAAATGACGTGAGGTCTCCATCCACGTGCCCGAAAGGATAGTGAGAGTTCAATCAGAGGTATTAATTCGGTTTCACCTTGCTTAGCTACTTCGTGAGGTATGGAGTGACCCAGCAACCTTTTTGTCTGTTCTCAGCCTGCCTACTGCCATCTAGCTATCATCAAGAGTAAGAAAAGCTCTGCAAAATTGACACCACGAGCAGTTCCTCTCAATAAACTCAGGTCCCCATCCCGCCGTCATTCCAATCATTGGTTACTTGGCAACCCGGGTGTCTCGTCATGTAGTCTCCGGCTGCTGCAGCGACAGCCTAGGCTGAGCCCTTCTAGTCCTCAGCTCGATACTTTTGCCACAGGGTAACAAAGAGACGTGTCTTGTGTTCCTGCTTGAGCATCGACACAAGGCCCAGTACAAACTCTGCGAGCACCGCGAATTAGTTACTTGATACAATAGAGCATACGTATTCTGTCTTTGAACATACCGGCGCGTGGCTTCACAGCACATTCAGGAACGACCTTCTGGGCCAACTCGATGAAGGCATTGGCAGGCGACCGGATATCGTCGGACCATGCGACCGCCGTCGTGCAGTCGGTGTGTAGAAAGAGCTTGAACACCTGGTATATGAAGGCAATTTCGTCGAGGAGATTCTCGTATGCTTCATCACTTGGGTCGGGCGGGATTTCAGCAACGGGTTCCGGTGGGACCGTGGATGGACCGTCATTGCTGAACGGCGAGTTAGTAATTCTAGGGTAGATTCAAAAGAGAGGTCCACTCACTTGACGGTGTTCGTCTCAGACACTCGCCAGTTGGCTTCCATCCGGCTCATCTGGTGAAAGAAGCACACCAAAGTTAGCGACGCAACAAGCAGCGTCGATGATTCTTACCTGCTCAATGTTACTGGCAGTTGCCCTCGCCGCCTTCTTGTGCTTGTTCTTCTTCGGGTTGAAGAACATAGGGGGTGGCCCATCGCGGTGCCCGCCTTTCTTGCCAGGCGCCATGATTAATGCCTTGGAGTTCGTGAGTGATGACGGTAGGTCGAGGAATGAGACTGTGAAAAGAATAGGCAGGAGGGTTCAAGTATCCGGGAAGATGCCGTTTTGTAGAAGAATTCGGTGAACGGCTTTAATATCTTGAGTGCCAAACAGCATGATGCATGATTCGCAGACGGGCAATTCCACAAGTGTTTGATGAGGATACAAAGTCGAGAGGTCTTGGGCGCAACAATGAACAGTGACGGTAGTCGGAATCTCTCATTGAGAGCTCTTGGGACGAAAAATGCGTTTACAAACAGCTAGTAATCGAAGAGTTTGGAAACGAACTCGCGTTTTCGCGTGACGCTTGCCTCCGCATCTTGTTGTTGGTTCACCAGTTGTTGGCCACCACAAACAACGGTATATCACAACCCGAAAGAGAAAACGTTTGCATCGCGTGTGAGTCTTATGAATCGCCTATCGCAGGACTCGGAAGGCTATCTTTTAGCAAGAATACCTTGTGGACGTGACAACATTGACCAATGCATTCCTGGTTCGAGCACGAACTCTAGGATACCTGGTTGGCGGTGAACTTGCGGGGACATGTGAACATGGGTTTGGCTCGAGCATGACGCATCGGAAGTAAATAAAACAAATCCTCGCATGATTCAGTGTTGGGTGTTAAAAGTGCCGACGACTCACAACTGAGTTGCTGTTTGACAGTCGAGTTGCCTGTTGTACTCCGACCTCAGGTTGGCATCTTCCTGAGCAAATAGCCAACAATACTAAGAGTTTTTGCGCAAAGAGCAAACTACAGAGGCGGGTAACATATTCAACAAATAAAACCCATTAAAAATATGAGTAGTGTGTTGCGTTTGTTTCGCTCCCAAACAGCAAAGGAGTTGATTGATGCTGTTATTGAAGAACCACCTCCAGGGTACGTACCGAAAGTCCCACTTTTACGGCCAAACCCCGCAACCAGTCAACGCCCGCGGTCACAACTCCCGCATCTAGCATCCGCGTCAACCATCAACGACAACATCACCAACCGTTCAGGCGTCCAGCGAAGCAATAGAAAAGCGCATAAACATGCAAAAAGAGAGCTGTTACGACTCCGATACGGGGAATCGAACGTTAGACCGGAAGGGATAATATGTGTTCTTCCCAACCCCCGGATCGACATCTCAAATCCTGAACCTTTGCTAATTGATTTGAGTGGCAGGAACCGTGTCTGCTGTTCCCCGTGAGGCTCCCGCCCGTCTCGTTTCGCCACTAGGGAACGACCTGAAGCCCGATTACCGTACCTGCCTACCACCTACCTGCCTTTGGATACGTCGGTACGTACCTGGCTACCCAGCTCCCAGCTTGAACGGCAGCCGTTTGCCGTTCCGACGGGGGTCCTCCGACGCTGAACCGTTGACCGAAAGGCGCTGGCTCCCCGGGCAGACTGCGTGGGTTCCTAAGTATGGACGGGAACGAATACGCGGCTCGAAGTACTGCCTGTTGATTGGAAAGGACGTGAGAGCACTTGGATGCAACCGACGCTCCAACACCACCGTTGAACATGACAAGAGACCAAGCGGAATATGGATGTCGCCTTTGACAAACTCGCCAACACAGTGCTCCATGAGAATTTCATGAAACAAATTACGGCTTGATGGTGCAAATGGAAGATGAGTCTTGCTCTTCGTATAACATCCGATTGCTATCGTTTAGACGTCCATGTGATTTTCCAACACGGCCCCAGTCAGTCAGCGCGACCACAGCTGTATGGCTTTGATCACAAACTCTCACGGGCGCAACGCAGCTTCAATCGCAACACAACAACCTCCGCGACAGCGATCAACGCCAGGATCTCCGCCGCTAAAAATATTCTAGGCAGAGGTACGGGCAGGGTACGGGGCAGAGGGGCGCTGCATTCAACCGAATGGAAGTAATCCATTTTCGCTGCAGCAGGCACAGCGGTTGGTTGCAGCGCTTTGGGTACACCTAAGATTTGGTCACAGCGGCCGTACCGCACTGGCATGCGCCTGGGCTGTTAGTAAATCACGTATGTTGGATGAATATCAATTCGATGTTGCACGAATAGCAAAATGAGATCAACCGGTTTTACCTAAGTTGCGGTTTGACGATCTTTGGGGTCTGTTGATTATTTCAGGTGTGGCCGCTTGCTCTGAGCCGATTTCTTTGCCCAAATTGACCTGTCCTCGGGCGTTTGCATTGCACACCTGGCATCCACCACCTCAATGATGACGCCAAACCCTGAATCTAAATCCTATTCTACGCTTAATAATGCCATCGCATTGCGCTCGTCGACTCCGAGAATTTTCCCAGAGCCCGTCGTTGAACTGCACCATCAGGCAATGAACGGACCAACGGTGGAGCAGAAGCTTGGACCAAATCATACTCCTCGTCTTGGTGCCTCGGACCAGTGTCGTGAGGCCCTCATGCCTGAGAGCAGAATGGTCCTTTCCTTTTCGCGAAATACCACTTCTTGGGATGTATCTGTTGCTGGTGCTACATGCAAGATTGTTCTTCTCCGCGATACAATACTTTTTCTTCTTCTCTTTCTTGAAGAAACGCATTTACCTTACCACTCGGACTTGAAGCACCAAGACAAGCAGGATGCAGCTCAGCTCTCTGTCTTTGGCGAAATATTCCTTCTTGGGCAACCTTCCTCTCAATTAACAAGCGTGCATCCGAGAAGAATGATCTCATTTGGGATGTTCTCTATTATCAAGCGCATCTATGGCCTTCAGTTATATACCTTGCTCGGTTGGTTGAATTGCAGAATGAGCCGAGGTACCCACCTGGTGGAGGTTGCCGAAGAGGTGGGGGGGCCATGCAATTTAACCCAGGTACTGAAGGATTGAAGCATTTTCCTTGTGACCTACTCCGTCCGTACTTAGTATAAAATTGAAACTTGTTTGGCTACCTCAAATGCCTCAACGTGTATCTATCGATACTATCCCGAATTGAACCTTAGTGTAAACTACCAGGCTCAGGCTGTGTGCACCAAGGAAGTAATGGAAGGGTTGGTTTCTCAGCTGACAACCGGCCCGAGTGCGACTCAATGGCCATCTAAAAAGAGGGACCTCTCTGTCCATTCACGAGAAGAAAATTCAATTCTGACAAGCACCGGGCAATCCTTTTTTTGGTCTGTGGAAAGAAAGTCTCTTCTTCTTCTTCCTTCTTACCAGAATTTGCCAAAAGTAAAAAAGACAAAAAAGGAAGTAAGTACATGGATGAACGACAGACAGTGAGCGAGTAGAGAGAGAGGGTGAGTGGTGGCGTCGTACGTAATAAGTCAAAAAGGTAGGTCCAGCTCCGGTGCAGGGAATCGAACCCTGATCCCCGCGGCACACATTTCCAGGATGAAAACGCGGAATGATAACCGTTACACCACACCGGATTATCTAAGGAGGCTTGACAGTGCGACTAATCCCACTTGGTTGCAAGGTTCACAATTGAGAGTCCATATAAATGGAACATGGAATTCTTTAGTTTCTAGATGAAAACGCGGAATGATAGTCCACTACACCATATCGGATTGTATCGATGAGAGTTGTAACAACTTGATGGTGGATCGTGAGCAAAGCACTAGTATAAAGGAAAGAAGCCAGAAGTTGGAAAGGGCCACAGAGTCTTCTCTCACATTCGTCCATTAGTGTCATGTCTTGCGTCTTCGATATCTATTTTATGAGCATGTGAAGGCGCAAGAGACCTCTCCTGGACTCACTATTGTGCAACTGTTGATTACCCCGCGGCTTGGGTGAAACAATGGCAGTCATGGCTTCTAAAGTCCTCTTCCAGCCAAACGGCAAGTTTCCACCTCTGTTGTGTCTTCGGTACTCAAGTTGACCAACCAAGCCTCGGGCAACCAACCAACGGGAGATATCCATTTAATGACGCAACCTATGGTAACTCCTTGTAAGTCCTCTTAATATGAGCAGGGCCTAACAAACTGGAATCTGGCTTTTGTGAACGGGTTGGCTTGAGGCGATTTCTGGAGTGCGTATGCTTGAGTCACTGCAACATCCGGATTCGAGTTGAGTCAAAAGTGAGAGTTCAAGCGCGGGCCAAAGAACAATAAGCTCCAAATATTCTCGCCATGCCACGACACTGTCCGGAATAGGATATGTCTATTGAGTTGGTTAATAATACTTGTCAGCGCAGTGCTGCATTCATCTCATTCATTGAGCTCACCCAACAACCAAGTCAGACCCTTCAGAGCCTGACAATTAACTGGAGCATGCACGTCATCTAACTTTACTCTTGAACTACGTAACTTGGCACGGTGTATCATTCACGGTGCAACGATGGTGGCGAGTGACATGTACATCAAATGCCAAGATGCCATCGACGATAGCCCAACGGGACTCGCCAGAACGACGCAATGAGAAGAGAGCGCACGACAACTCTCTGATCGACCCTTTTGCCAAGATATCAACCGAGGCCAAGAACCAAAAGCGCCTTCAAGTAGTTCCATCTAGTTCGGCCCTCGTTACACAACTCCTCCAGACCACGTTCCTCGGAAGTCAATTGTCCCCGAACCAACCGTAGACAGTCTTCAACCTCACTCCCGTTGTGTCACGAAGCCCTCGGAACCACCTGTTGAAGCCATGGAACTTCCCCGTCCCGTCCTCGCCCGTCCTCCCGCCCACGTTTCGTCCAACCGTTGCACGGCATCTTCCCCAGACTTTCGTCTCACTTCTGGCTCACTTCACCGTCACAAAGTTGCCATATCGGGTGAATAAAGAGACAATGAGACCGCACTAGGAAATGCCATTGTATAAGAAGCGTGAATTATTCTGCCTTTTGGCATGCGGTTAAAAAGCAACACAGGAACACACAACCATCGTTGCACTTCCTTCACACTTGTTCCTTCAAACTTTTCGCTCGCAGTCAACAACTGCTTCGTCTATCATCACAAGAGAAACGAACGAGTCAGTCGTGAGAAGCAAAAACAAGTCAACCGGAATACCAGCAACCATGCCGTGCTCCAAGATTCGGTGGCTCTTCATCTTCTTCACAACGGTCCGTCCCCACTCATCACTCAACACCAACTCACAACTAACTCGCTACCACAGACCCTCGCGGCACCCACCCCCGTCGCGCCTCACGAACCCAACCCCGGGCCCTTCGCCGCGCTCCTCAACGACATGGCCAAAGACCCGCACGGCGCGCTCCACCTCGGCCCCGACGGCGTGCTGCGCAGCCTCGCGGCCAACGGCACCGTCATCGACCAGCGCGCCCACCCGGAAACCGCCCCGCCGCTCCGCCGCTCCCCGGCCGACATGGACCCGGAGGAGGTCCTCGGCGCCTGCAGCCCGCCGCTTGCGTGCCACAACAGCACGACGTGCGGAGACGGCTGCGGCTCGTGTACGTACCTGGGGTTCTTCCCGTACGGGCTGTGCCTCGCTGGATAAGGGTGTGCTGCGCTGTGTCACTGGGTTCTGTCATGTATCTAGCATAGGTTGGCCGGGAAGAGTTACAACTTGATCGACACGAGATGCTCAGACAGGCTGAGCGAGTGGTGAGTCATGGAAGGGAATGGCGAGTCCTCAACGCCCTGATTCCGTCACTCATTTGGCTTTCCTCTTCTGGAGAGCGCTGACGGACATTCGGGGATTGGTATCCTGGGAGGAATTGCTCTGTAATCACAATGCCTAGTAATTCGGCCTCCAATGCTCCATCGGCTACCTTGACGCTACTACGGATATGTGCACTGCATTGCACTTCCTTCATCCTGCGCCGTTCGGACTTTCAACCCCGAAAGTCCGCCCATTCGTTCCCATCGCCTCGCATCACATGTTTCCCCGCGCTCAAATACAGTTACTTCAATATCCGATAGCGGAGGTCGCCGCACCAGACGCCATTCCCACGACTTCATCGGAATTGGCCTATCCCATGAGACCACACCACGCACCATCCAATTCCCCCGCCCTGCTGCCCCGCGAATTCGCTGCAGCGCGGCCCCCAGACGCCCCGTTCTGCAGTGAAGCCACCTTCTCGCCGCGCTGAGGGTGTGGTGATGCCGTCCTGCGCCGAGACTGGCCAGTTGCTGCTGCTCTTCATCAGTCTTTGTTGTCTCCCTCTTGGCGATGCGGTCTTGGCACTCCGCTGGTCGTTCTCCTCAAGGTGGCGCTGGTCATGTCACGGTGGCACTGGTCATGGGATTCGAAATGCATTGGCTTATTCGTGTGTTTTTGTATTCACATGTTTTTTGACTATCTGCAACTATGCCGCTCTGCTCTTGGCTATCCTCGCCAAGGCTGGGCTCTAATAGCTTGCTTGCTGCTTTGTCTTGCTTTCTCTCACACGCTTTGGGCGTCCCTTTTTCATCAACCCAGCATGTCTTCGTCTTTGGGATTCCTTCCCATTCACGATTATGTCCTATTCCACCGTAATTTTCTTTTGTGTGCATCGTTTCCCAGGAACGGCCTGTAGTTCCCGTTCCTTTGTAATAGCAGAAAGACCCAAAATCTCTTCCGATCAACGCTGGTGGGGTATATTTGTTGCAAATCATAATTCCAAAAAGGCGCCGCGTCTCTCATGCATGGTGTAAAATATTATGTCTGGGTAAAGAAGAGAGGAGGTAAGAGGGAGGAGGAGGTGGTGGCGATGGCGATAAGGCTAGGCTTTAGCAGGTTCATGCCGATGCCCGTCGAGGGAGCTCCCCGGGTTGTCGGTCTGCGGCCTCGACGCTGAGTCGGTGGGCATCAAGAGGCTCCAGGCTCTCGTACTCGATCGGGGGCTCCGCGGTAGGGTAAGCCGGAGGGCTAGGAGGAACGTCCTGGTAGACGGGAGGGGCCTCGTTGTCCCAGCTCACGCCCATGCCGGCGTGGTCCGTCATGACGACGCCGTAGTGCATGCGCAGGATGCGGCCGGTGCCCGTCTGCGTCGCCATGTGCGGCTTGCCCTCGGGTGCGTACTCCCTAGACACGACCAGCTCGATGAGGAGCGAGTGCGTCACCTCGGTGCCGTCCTCGGTCTTGGTGTCGCAGGCGTACTTGAGCTCACGGGTGTGCGACTTGTACTGGTTGGCAAAGTACTCAAACTCCATCTCGACGTTGCCGTCGGCGCCGCTAAAGTCCGACTTCCAACCCTCGTGGAGGTGCTTCTCGCCGAGGAGACGGACCTCCGTTCGGGTCAGGCCCTTCTTGTCGGCGTCGCTCACGTTCGCAGCGGGAGAGTGTCGCCCGCAGGCGGGGGCCACCGTCTTGATGGTCTCCTCAAGCCGCCAGGTGACCTTCTTAAGTCGCCAGAAGTCGATGGTCTTGGCCTTGTCGTTGCGGGTCACCAGGCCGTCCAGACGGAGAGACACCTTGTTGGTGCCGGTGGGGTGGATGATGGAGCTGTAGTGGGCGCTGGCCTTGATGTTGGTCGGGGGGAAGACGCGGACGGAGTGGTGGGGGATATCATGCTCGGGGAGAGATCGCTTGACTGTGAAGGTCTTCTCGAACCGGATGGGGGCGCAGGAGCCCGTGTGCGAGCACGAGCTCTTGGTGACGAGAGCGTCGGCGTTGAACTCGTACATGATGGCCACGAGGGGAGTGTCCATGGAGGCGGGGAGGTGGCCGTCGAGGAGGATAGAGAAGGGGAAAGTGTGACGGCCTCGTCGTAGAGCAGTGGGCTTTGCAATGAACTTCCAGCTTTGCAGCTCGGTGTACTGGTTCTGGCAGTCGGTACAGTGGCCCTGGTAGGGACGCTTCTGGATAACGTGCAGGCGGAGAGCGGCGGTAAAGGTGCCGATCTCGACAAAGTCGTCACGCACGTCGAGGAACATCTGGCCCGTGATCAGGGCGCCGGTGCTCTCGTCGGCGCTGCCGTGGAAGACCACAGGAGGGCTCTCGATGCTCCATCCCAGCGAGACGGGCGAGGGGTGGTGGTCCTTGGAGGACTTGCCAAAGGGCAGGGAGATGCGGTGGTGCTTCTTGACACCGTCGACGAGGTCGGGCATCTTCACGGACAGCACATTGGGCTGGTCCTCGCCATCAGAGGTGTAGGGGCTGGTGGTGCGGGATCGAGAGATGGCGACCTTCTTGATCTGCGCAATGTTGCCAGAGGATGTGCGAAGGAAGTTGGCCACGCGGTGGGGCATTGTGGGCGAGATTTTGGTGGGAGGTTTTCCCTTTAGCTTCAGTGACGACCTGGTGGGGGGGGGGAAGAAACGATTTTTGTATAAGTGGGAAGCCGGTTTTTTGTGTGTAAGCGAAGGCCCAAAGACGCAATCGAGAGTCAAGGGACGGACAGACGACGCCGGCGTCGCTGACTTGGCTTAGAACAACCAGGATATATACGCGCTGGTCTGATGCCGATGCTGGCGGTGGTCGGCTGACACACGGAGATGCAGCGGCTGCAGACGGCGCCAACAAAACGACGATGACGATGGAATGGCGTCCAGGCGAG